TGCCTATTTCTCGTTGTTCGCTTTGTGTTGCCGCAGTATTCGCCACAATATAACGCAAACGAGCGTATGTACATAGGGAAAATCTATAAGAATCTTCCGTACCATATGGGGAAATATTATAATATACAATACATACATTGCACTTGACAAATCCGTCATTCATTACACAAGCGTACTTCCAAACCCAGCTTGTTTTAGGCATGTCTAAAATATTAATATTTACGAAGTTGGTAATGCACGTACAGATATCGGATCGGTAACAAATAAAATTATTGAGACACACCCACCTGCGAATCTAAACGATGACCGACAGTTGAGGCAATTTTTGTGTTGGAATGAAAAAAATTTTAAAATTTCTTCCACAATTATTTCACAACAATACGTTCATCAACCTACTTCTCGTATTAAGGAAACTTCATTAAATAATTGTGATTTTAAAAGCTTTAAATATTATGAGAAAAGAAACTATAATTTGAACAAGCTGATACAATAAAAGTACAAAATCTTTAGGTGAATGAATAGCAAAAGGCTTTGTTACCTTACTTTTTGTACCAGAAGTGGCCTACCACAGGGTTTAGTTCTTATATAATTCCCAATGAGAACGTTCTCGTCAGTTTTGTTCTCATTTTGGTTTTGGTTATTTGGTATTTTTTAACCGGCTTGCAAAAAAGGAGGAAGTTATCAATTCGTCGGTGTTTTTTTTTATTTTTATGCCCCAAATTAATCTGGATTAGATCCGATCATTAGAGCATGAAATATATATATATTTTTGTATTGAATTCGGTTTTGTTCTTTGCTTAAAAATTACTTGTTTACTCTAATTACCGTGGCCAGCCCGCGAAACATGTGGAAAATAGGGTTAATAGGGCTTTCGCACGATGCGATTTTTCAGGCAACTTTTGCGTTCCACTCACGCAGGAACAAAATGAATGGCTAAAAATATCAAAATATAAAAAAAAATATAAAAATATTCGCCTTAAAAAGACGTTTGCATTGTTCAACTTTGAATTCCACTTTTGGTTGAACGGCCTTTCAACTAACCGTTTTCAACAAAGCTGGTCGCCAGCCAACATTTAGCCATTCAACTTTGTTTTTCGTGCAACCCTGCGTGAGTTGAAAGCAAAAGTTGAACGCAAAATCGCCGCGTGTGAACAGCTTTTAAGGATGTCAGTGGCAAAAATACATCGATGTTTTTTGCGCCTCGATACATCGATATTTGTAATTTTTTTACATTTAAACATTTGAGGTATTCACAACAGTGTCGAAAGTGTCATATTGTTGTATGTCGTAAACTTTAAACGCCTAAAAACATGTTAAAGGGGTTTGCAAAGTCATCCAAGTCATATTATGTATTTTCGTAGTGTTAAAAAATAGTTGGTTGTGGTTTCAAGTGCTCTAAACATTTATTTAAGCTTTTAAAGTTTACGACATACAACAATACGACACTTACGACATCGCTGTGAATCCCTCAAATGAGAAACTTAAAAATTTGTGTGTTACGTTAAAAAATTTATATTTTGCTGTGACGGGTGGGTCATCCAATAAGCATTTATTTGAACGCTTACAACTTCTCACCATAACAGTATTTTTCTAATAACTTACCACCGTTTTTAAGTTCATGAATTGTGTTTTCTTTTTTGATAATTTTTCTTTGTATTGTCACCTTTGGTATATGGAGAATGTCTTGAAACATCCATATTTTCGATGCATCGATATTTTTCCAACATTCCTAGCTTCGATGTTTTTTCGAAATCCCTATCTCAAATTAAACGTCAAAAGAGGAGACCAATGTAGGGAAAACTGGAAAACTGCGCGTCTTTTTTCACCAACTTACAAATAATTCTAACATTATTGCTTTTAAAATTTTGCCTAGAGTATAGTTAGAGAATCGAACTCCCTACAGCAACATTGAAATGACCGAGGATGAAGAGGCGGTGGAGGCCTCCACCTCAACTCCCAAGGAGGATGTGTATTTCCTACAGTACATTGAGATGGAAAATTTCAAGTCGTATCGAGGCCATGTAATTGTCGGCCCGCTAAAAAAATTTACTGCAGTCATTGGACCAAATGGATCAGGTATAGTTTTATTGTTTACAACCCGTTTCAATTCAATACTACTCTAATCGCTTTCCTAGGAAAGTCAAATTTTATGGATGCAATTAGTTTTGTAATGGGTGAGAAGACTTCAAGTTTGCGCGTGAAACGACTCAATGACCTAATACATGGGTCGTCTATTGGCAAGCCTGTGTCGCGCAGTTGCTATGTAACCGCTAAATTTCTCATCAATGATGAGCAACAAATGGATTTTCAGCGAGCAGTTATTGGCGGTTCATCTGAATATCGCATAAATGGGGAGGTAAATTCGAATTATGTGCTTATAATAAATAATATACGTACATATAGCAAACAAATTATTTTTATTATAAAGAATGTAACAAGCGGTGCCTACTTATCTAAACTCGAAAAGATGGGTATAAACGTTAAAGCGAAAAATTTTTTAGTATTCCAAGGCGCTGTAGAAAATATCGCAATGAAAACGCCAAAAGAACGCACGGCGTTGTTCGAGGAGATCAGCGGGTATGAATATTTTAATATCTATATTTTTATATACATACATTCATATGTATATTTGCAGTTCGGGGCTTCTTAGAGAGGATTACAATCGTTTAAAACAAGAAATGAATTTAGCTGAGGAGGAAACCCAATTTACGTATCAGAAAAAGAAAGGAATGGCTGCAGAACGTAAAGAAGCCAAACATGAGAAGATGGAAGCAGACCGTTATGCGCGTTTGAAAAATGAATATGTGAGTTAACCATATAGCAAATACTCTCTTTTTGATTGTTGGTCTTAATAAAATTGGCCTAAAATTAACGATTACAGAATGAGAAACTGGTGGAATATCAACTGTTTAAGCTTTACCACGTAGAGAACGATATTAAAAAACTAAATCAAGATCTGGAAACCAAGCAAAAAGACGTTAAAAGCGTTGAAGTTCGAAAGGAACAAGCAGATGAGGTATTGCGGGAAAAAAAGAAAGATGCTGGCAAGTTTTCGCGTGATTTGGCAAAAATAGAGCAAGAAATACGAGAGTTTGAAACGCAAATGAACAAAAAACGTCCACTGTATATTAAAGCCAAGGAAAAGATAACCCATTGTCAGAAGAAATTGACATCACTGCAGAAAACTCTAGAGACTGCGCGCGAAGCGGATAATGCACATCAACAAGATATTCGTAAGCTGGAAAAGCAGTTGGCTGAAGTTGAGACATTGAAAAAACGTTTTGAGGATGAAATCGAAAACGAATCTCAGCGTCGTGGGAAAAGCGTAACGATGGAAGAAGGTTTGGTGCAGGAGTACGATCGCCTCAAACAACAAGCGGAAGCTACAGCCACACAATACCGTTCACAATTAGATTCGGTGAACCGTGAACAGAAGTCCGATCAAGATATGTTAGATGGGGAAGGCAATCGTAAGGCATCGGTGGAGGAGTCCTTGAAAAAGTTGACTCTTCAACGCGAAGAGGCAGTCAAAAGGCGCGACAAGCTAATGGATCACATAAAATCATCACAAGCCGCATTAGAGGAACAAAATCGCATCAAGGATGAACTGCGTCGAGATGTGGGCTGCTCCAAGGAGAAGATAGCTGAAAAGCAACGAGAATTGGAAAATGTTCGCGATCAGTTAGGTGACGCGAAGAGTGATAAGCACGAAGATGCGCATCGTAAAAAGAAGCAGGAAGTTGTGGAGTTGTTTAAGCAACAGGTGCCGGGGGTGGTAAGTTGGTAGCCCCAAGGGCTTAATTAATTTTTTTTTTAACTTTTTGTATATTAATATATAGGCAGGTTCAGCGATTCAGTTTTCGAGTGCATTTCAATCCCATGCAATTTAAATTCAAACTGGCTTGGTTGCAATTAACTCGGAAGTAAATTGCAGAACCTGCCTGATAAACATTCTTGGCATATTAACTTATATCCCAAACAGTTTATATATGAATTATTTTCCAAAATTGTAGCCACTAGTCTAGTTTGTAATACTGTTAAGCCTAATTTCTAGTCTGTAAGATTGTAAATCATATTCCGAATAAAGACGAATAATAATAATAAAAATAATATACCTACTAGGGCTGTGCGATTAATTGATTACTCAAAATTTTAATTAATCATAAAGTAAATAACTCAGTTATTCGATTAATTAGAAGTTATGATTACTCAAAAGTTCAGTTACTCGAGTAATCAAGATTTTTGATTAACCAAAAACAAAAATATTTGAGTAATTTGCTTTATGATTAATCATCATTTCGAGTAAAATGAGTAATCAACATTTCAACTCTTTACATATGTATAAAGTAGTTAAAGTTCCTAGATACTATTAAAACAACGTTTCTGTTTTCAAAAATTAAAACGAAAATTTTTTTTTCATATACAGAATGTAAAAAAGAAAATAAGCATTTTCCAAAGCAAACTCTTTTAACGAGCAAAATTATTTTTTTTGAGTAATCATATTTCAAGTAACTCGATTAATCATCGTTTTGAGTAATCAAAATCTTGATTACTCGAGTAATTGATTAACTGAATAATTGATTAACCAACTTGCTCGAGTAATCGAATAATCGCACAGCCCTAATACCTACATATTTCAGTACGATCGCATGATAAACATGTGTCAGCCAACGCATAAACGTTACAATGTTGCCGTGACCAAAGTATTAGGTAAATATATGGAGGCCATTATCGTTGATACCGAAAAGACCGCAAGGCACTGCATTCAGGTAAGTTCAACCATATCAGCAAAATATAGTCAATTTAGTTTAAATTTTTTTAAATTTAAATATATATATATATAATATAAATAGATTTTAAAAGAAGGAAGATTGGAAGTTGAAACATTCCTGCCACTAGACTACTTGCAAGTAAAACCACTTAAAGAGCGTTTGCGGTATGCATAACATCCCATAATTTTAATTTTGTTGTCATGTTTTCACATTTCACTTTCTTTTGTGTAGGAACATAACTGAGCCGCGTAACGTCAAACTTGTATTCGATGTACTTAAATTTGAACCACCAGAAATAGAGCGGGCTGTATTGTTTGCTACAAATAATGCATTGGTTTGTGAGACACCCGAAGATGCTATGAAAGTGGCTTATGAAATTGATCGTACACGCTATGATGCACTTGCTTTAGATGGCACCTTCTACCAAAAGTCTGGTATACTTTCTGGAGGTAGCCACGATTTGGCGCGCAAAGCCAAGCGTTGGGATGAAAAGCACATGGCACAGTTGAAAATGCAGAAAGACAAATTGAACGAGGAGTTAAAAGAGCTGGTTAAGAAATCGCGGAAGCAGAGTGAACTCGCTACAGTTGAATCACAAATTAAGGTAAATAAATGAGATATCTAATTGAAACCTACCTAATTAGCATAAATATAATTGATTAATATCACATAAAAGGGCCTGGAGAATCGTTTAAAATATAGTATGGTGGATTTAGAAGCATCAAAAAAATCTATTCAGCAATTCGATAATCAACTAAAGATGGTGCAGAGCCAACTGGATGAATTTGGGGTAAGATCTTAACAAACTCTTTTATTGGTATATCATTTGTGATAAATATTATAAAATTTTAGCCTAAAATCAGTGAAATTGAACGCCGTATGATGAAACGTGAGGAGCATATTCAAGAAATCAAAGAGAATATGAATAATGTTGAGGATAAAGTATTCGCATCGTTCTGCAAGCGTTTGGGTGTTAAGAACATACGGCAGTATGAGGAACGTGAGCTTGTCATGCAGCAAGAACGTGCACGAAAGCGTGCAGAATTCGAGCAACAAATAGACGCAATCAATACCCAGTTAGACTTTGAGAAACAAAAGGATACCAAAAGTAATTCAAAGATTATACATTACAAAAAAATTATATGTATTAATTGCAATTCAAACAGAAAATTTGGAGCGTTGGGAGCGTAGTGTTCAAGATGAAGAGGACGCACTTGAAGGTTTAAAAGCTGCAGAGAAACGCTACCTTAAAGAAATTGATGAAGATAAAGAGAAAATGGAAAAACTTAAGCAGAGCAAACAGGCAAAAAAACAAGCTACTGATGATATGGAAGAGGATATTTCCAAAGCTCGGCGTGATGTTTCTAATCTGGCTAAAGAAATACATAATTTAGGCAGTCAGATATCAGCCATTGAGGCAAAAATCGAAACGAAAAAGAATGAGCGCCATAACATACTAATGCAGGCAAAGGTAAAAATTCTACTATATTTGATTTATCACTACTTGTATTAATTGGATTTATTTGCCGTTAATAAATGCCACTAGCAAAGTCTTCGTAAGGGGTTTTTCTTATGTTTATCGTAAATTAGTTGGTTAATTAAATCTGAAATTATTGTAAATTAAATTCCACGATTTTATGTTTCATCTACAGATGGATTGTATACCTATACCGCTGCTCAGAGGTTCCCTCGACGATGCTGTGCGCCAAGGCGACTCCGAAACGACCTCCACTTCGCTCATTTTAGAACGCGAAAATCAGTAAATATACATATTTACCAGATCCAATTTTGTGGTTTTCTATTTGATATTTTTATCTGCCAATATATCTCCAATTTCAGAATTGAGGTCAATTACAGCAGTTTACCACGCGAAATTTGCAAGCTAAGAGACGATTCCTCTTTTAAGAAAATGAACGATACATTGCAAAAAGACTTGCAAGCCAAATTGGATGTACTCGAACGCATACAAACACCAAATATGAAGGCAATGCAAAAATTATCACTAGTTACAGAGAAAATACAATCTACAAATGAGGAGTTTGAAAATGCACGGCGCAAAGCGAAAAAGGCGAAGTCCGCCTTTGAGAAGGTGAAAAATGAGCGTTCCGAAAAATTCATACAGTGCTGCAATCACATATCAGATGCAATTGATGGAATCTACAAAAGTTTAGCACGTAATGAAGCTGCACAGGCCTATCTCGGTCCAGATAACCCGGAAGAGCCATATTTGGATGGCATCAATTATAATTGTGTGGCACCGGGTAAACGTTTCCAGCCGATGAGTAACTTGAGTGGTGGTGAGAAAACAATTGCAGCCTTAGCATTGCTATTCTCCATACATAGGTGCAAGCAAATTTAGGATCTCAAATATGTTTATTGGTTTATAATGCATCGTATTTTCACAGCTACCAACCAGCTCCGTTTTTTGTGCTCGACGAAATCGATGCAGCGCTTGATAATACCAATATTGGAAAAGTGGCATCTTACATTCGCGATCACACAAATAATTTGCAGACAATTGTTATATCGCTCAAAGAGGAATTCTATGGACACGCTGACGCGCTGGTGGGAATAACACCGGCGGTGAGTATTGGGAAAACAACTTTTTAAAATAATGATGATTTTATTTAATTTCCTTAGGAGGGAGACTGTTTGATATCCAATGTTTACCTATACGATCTGAGCGTTTTCGATGATAAATAGTCGATCCTTGTGGTTTCCTCGTTTTTCTTCATATTAAAACCATTCTATACTTTAGCAAAAAAGCAAAATGTTAAACATACTTATACAGCACAGTTTAACACAACACTGTTCAATTTGATTGTACTGAAATATTTTTTTTTCACCAATTACATAATACGTATTTACTGTAACTAATTAAACAAGCACTGTAACTAATTAACAAGCACATCTATGTTTTTTTTTTAAGAAATATTAATAACTATGCTGGATGATATGAACTTGGTGAAAGGCGAGTGCAAAAGAATTAGATATGGCTACTGGAACTTTTCTTCTTACCGGTTGTAATAAGCAGCATAAAATATTCAAAATATGCATTCTATTTGATCTCTTCTACTAAGAAAAAAATACCAAAAACAATTCTAATTCTTTTGATTTTCATGAGGTTTTTGTTGGTTTAGCAGCATAAATTCTTCAAATTGGCTGTCAGTCATCTTTTAGGGCTTGTTCGAGTTGCAATCACAACTGCAGTGTTGCGTGAATTATTAAAGTATCACGTTCGAAAGAAGTGTGTGTCGTTTTGTCTTAATTCAGCACCACACCCCTGCATCGTGCTTCTCTATCTAATTTCGAGAACACAGAACAGACCTTCGGTTTGTTGATATTGGCCGATAACATTCCTCTTCCTCTAGCAAGTTGCCTCTCCTAACTTACTCCCTTTTTGACTGCAAAGAGCCTAACACTCTCCACTACGAAATCCTCAGCAAGATTATTAACCATCTGGTCGAAGGAGGTCAGAGTGCAACTGGGAACTCGTACCAATCCCGACGATGAATAACCCAAAAAATCTCGGACTTACCCTCGGTAGCCTGCGCTGCTCGGCGCACACAACCTCGATTGTCAACATAGTTTAGAGCCGCAACAAGGTCCTCAAGTCGCTAGTCGGTAGCACCTGGGGTAAATATACAAAGAAAAGTAGCTGGCAGCATACAAGGCATTTGGACGGCCGGCCTGTGGTCGCCGGGAACTAGCAGGAACGCAGTGGACGAAGCTACAGACCTGTCAAAATACGGCACTCCAGACAGCCACCGGATGCCTTCTGACGTTGCCACAGCACCATCTACACGACGAGGCTCAGATGCTCCCCGTCAAGGAGCACAGCACAAAGTAAACAGTTCTTAGTACGGTGTCACAGACGCGCGGGCACCAGAACAGACACCTGCGTGCAACAGGCATGTCAGGAGGCATCTATACGAACTGAAGGACGAAGTCCAGAGGTTCATAAAACCACCTCCGGACTCTACAGAATACCATACAGGCCATAAAGGACATTCACAGGGAGTCGACTCTTGACCTGTGAATGCCGTTTAGGTAACACATCCACCTGACGCGGACGAGACAGAGCTTCGTCCGCCTTGGAAGACTCGCACCGTAATAGCCCAACTTCGCTCCGGCTACTGTAGCCGGCTAAACTCGTACCTGAGCAGATAAGATGCACATATGTCCAACGAGTGCCCGGCATGCGGAGAGATACCCCCGACTCGAGACATCTCTTAGCTTACATCTCGGTCCTTATGGACAGACCCAACTGACGTGGCACGCTTCCCGGGTCTCCCGTTGGTTGAGCTTGCCAATAGGCAGGGTTGAGTAGCCGCTACAACAAGAACAACATCTGTTGACGAGGCACAACCTAAGGTTGGTTAGGTTCGAATGGTGGCGGAAAAACTCTTACGCCCAAGTAGAAGCTAAGTGCCGTTTCGTTAACATATATCTCGACAGCATATGTTAGAACCAACCGGCATGGTTGATAAAGTTGAGTATGTTGTAGAGGCATACATATATCAGAGAGTTCGCGTCACGTTTTGAACTAATATACTCCTAGCATGGTATTTTTGCTAGTAATTAGTGCTGGACATTTGCAAAGAAGGTACTCTACTGTTCTACTCATTTTCGTCTCTGCAGATTCAACCGAAGTCGTTGTAGACGTGGGTGCTAACCGGATCCGATTTCTGAAGATTGTGGAGGAAGATGTCTCTATATAAGGTTCCAATTGGGGGTGAGATACGATCCTCGATCGAGATCAATGTGGAATCCTTTCTAAAAGATTAAGATTCCTACACTCCTTGATTAGTTTCGAACTTGTTGTAAAAGACGCCAAGGCCTTAATGGCCGCCTGGCTGTCTGCGAAAATGGCTATACGATCGCCGTGACGTAAACCACTACGTTCTAAGAGACGGCGAACACTTCTACCCGAAAAAATACTTGCAAAATAGGGCAGATGAACTCCTGGTCCAACTCCGCGTTCCATTTTGGAGTCATAGCTGCAAAGGTGATGTATCCAGGCAGGGATATCAAGTTCCCCGTCGCAGTCGATTCTCGACGGAAGAATAATCCCGAAAGGTATGTGAAACTAAATCAGGTCGTATGTAATTGGTAGCCAGTCTCATCTTAGGTTCCAATAGGTGTGTAATAACATTGATGGTAGGGCAAGTACTCATTGCACGCGTGGTCCCGATGCATGCTGCCCTCTGAACTCTGCCTAGATTTACAAGATTCCACTTGTTTTTAAGGCAGTCTACCGTACCACGGAACCGTAGCATAAGATCGGACGTACAACCGCTGTGTATATCCAGAGTACCTCTTTTGGATTGAGACCCCAGAAAGCCGCTTACAGGAGCAATAGGCAATGCTGTCTTTCCTTACTCTTCAATATTTATTTTCCAGCTAAGCTTAGGATCCAGTATGACTCCAGATACTTCGCTTGTTTAGATAATCATAGGTTTTGTCCATTCAGCTTTGGTAATACAAAGCTAGGAATCTTATTCCTGACCGTAAATAGCATTAATTCTGCATTCTCTGCACGGTGTTATTCACCACATATGGACAAACTGGTTAATAAAATCATTAAATCGTCAGCGTAGGCCAATATTTTTACTCCCCCCTGGTTGAGCTTGAGTAGTACTGAGTTGATGGTGCTATGCCGGGAGAACCTCAACTGTCACGGGAGACGCGCACAACACTAGCACAACTCCGATCTGATGTACTTAATAGGGCTATTCCCTTAAACTCGTAAAATTTTCCTTTTCATTTAATTATATTTTAGCTTTCGTTCGAGCTGACGGGCTATTATGAAAAATACTACGTAACAAAAATTTACACACAAAGCCATGGTAAACTTTTCAGACAGTCACTTTGCGCACCTATTTATACATTTGCAAAAAGGAGCCTTCCCGTAACAGCCTCGTAAAATTACGAGTTCTACACACTTTAAGACGACTTTAAGTGAATGCCCTTAATGTATTTCCGGCATGTGGACGCAAAACACTTCTCAAACGGCTCGGAGCGAACCTTCCCAACTCTGACGGAGCTGGTGGTATTGCTCAACGTTATTTTACACAGCCGTATTAGTTTCTCGGCCGCTCCGCTGCACCTGGGTTCAAACCCTGGTTAAAGCAACATCGCAAAAAAATGTAGAAAAAAGGTTTTTTCTTAACAGCGGTCATCCCTCGGCAGGCAATGGCAAACCTCCGAGTGTTTTGCTGCCATGAAAAACAGCTTCTCATAAAAATACAATCGCCGTTCGGGGTCGGTGTTAAACTGTAGGTCCCTCCGCTTTGTGTGACAACATCAAGGCGCCCGCCACAAGTCGGAGGAGAAGCTCGGCCAAACACTAACATATGTGTAAGCGCCAATCTGTTATTATTATTATTAGTTTCTCGGGGATACCAAATTCAGATATCGTGAAAGCGGCTTTGAAATCGACAAACATATGGTGTGTTGAACTTATTCATGTACGTCTCTTGCAATATTTGACGTGTGGTGAATACCTGGGGGTGGGGTAGGGGGGTTACTCTGTAATTCGATGCGAAAGAAAAATGCGATGCGATACGTATTAATTATGATGTATTTGCCTATCGCATCGCATTGCCCTTTCGTATAGTATTACATAGTAGCCCCAAGTCGGTTGCATTTTATGGTTAAAAATTACTTGTTAATGCAACTTTTGAACGTTGAGCTTTACTGCAAAGAGGCGTATAGGCATCATGTTTGGTCGTCGGATCGTTCACAACATTAGCTGCGTGTGTTCCGTATATCGTAGCAGCATCTGTAGACAGCCAAGATGCTTGATAGACCATTTTATACTCGAACTTAGTACGCCATACCTGCATTTTTCGCCGTGAAGGCTGAATTTTCCTACGCTGGTACCAGAAACGCCTTCATTTCCCAACCTAACATTGAAATCGCCTAGCACAATTTGTATACTGTGGTATTATCCATGCAAGGCATCTGTCTGCTATCTCTATATAAATTTTGTTTCTGTAGAAATATACTCGACAGCACTCCCCTGACCACAATGGCGCTAGGGTGGTTCGCATTTATCTTGAGAACCCGATTAGAGAATGGACCTCCTTACACGAAGTTTTGGCGTCAGTGGGGATGGCAGTTTCGACTGCTTCTCGATGTAGTGAGCTACTACCTTGCAGATATGGATTGTGCTTATGCCTAGTTGAATAAGATGCCTGCTTTCGTGACGTGGTGCTAGCGTTCTGTCTGTTATGCCATGCTTTGTCTGCCTCAACGTGATGATACTGACACGACATTGGGAAAGATCTCGTGGCAGTTTGGAAAGCGGCGTTTCGACAGGTTTGTAAGTCAGTTCAATGAGCGTTGCTGAACCCAATGCTCTGCACTGTAGCGTCCTAGTTTACTACAGCAAGACAGATGCGGAGTGATGCAGCTAAAAGTACCGGCGAGTATTTAAGGATGGGTTACACTCGAAATTTGGGTCCTGTCGACCTCTAGACCCAGTTTATGTCTCACCTCCTCTAAATGTTTCCATGGATTTCGCTGTGCATATCTACTGGAATGGAGATTTAGTTTTACGTCTAAATCGGTAAATTACCACAGGGAAGAAGCCAGCATTTTTTCGATATGACAATTTGAAGGCAGTTCGGTTCATTTAAAGAAGCTCTTTTGAACTGCATACCATTTGCAATGCTGACTTATTCCCTTTGGTAATTAACCGATTCTTTTAATTCCACAATACATGATTCTTCTAATCTTGTTACTTTCATTCCTGAAGTACCTGGGCAAAATTCTAAGCTCCACGCCCATTACTTTGGACGCTATGAAATCGCAAATTTTATGTGAAATTTGAAAAAAAAATTCAAAACAGTATTCCATGAAGATAATGATTTTCCTAATGCTATTTCGTTCACAGTTTTATCATTTTTGGCATAATTACTAAGATTTTTTTTTTTTTAAAAACGTCTTCTAGAGCCAAAAATAGAATTTTTCGCCAATGTTGATAAAGTTTCTTGCAATTATCTCTGCTAAATTTTTTACAAATGAGTTACTTATTGAACATTCTTCATGCAGACACATCTGATTCCAGCGTTACGTTTGATAAACTAATAATCTAATAATCAAATAGAGCACTGGTGGTAAGACCGTAAACATGAGGAGTACCCCACAGGCAACATCGGGGTCGAAAGCCTTAAGAAGAGCTCATCATTTAGTAGACTGGATTTATGATAGAATTAACATAGTTGCATTGGTTTTGCTGCAAGAATTTACCATTGCAATTCAATTAATCTTTTAGCTTGGCTGTTCGAAATTCCAAAAATTAATAATTAACAGATGAAAATTACTTATTAGCATTAAAAAGACACGAAGCCAGGCCTAAAATTTCTAGGCTAGAACAAAAATGTAAGTTCTAAATTTAGCCTCAAAAAAACTAAGCTGGTCACACTGCGCAGAAGGCCTTAGCAGAACCCCAAAGAAAGAAAGACATAGCCGAAGTCTTCTGTTCTCGGTACAGGCCGACAAACGATAGTTGGCACTAATGCGAAAAAGTGATCAACCAAACGCACAAAAAAACGGTTTATTAAAAAAAAATTAAATTAACAATGGCTTTTTGAATTCATAAAAAATACACAACTAAATTTTTTTTTTCATTTTTGCAACTTTAATAACTTTTTATTAAATTTTTTTACAACTCTTCATCCTCCGTTCTTTAGATATTCTGTTTTGCGTGAGGAATATTCTCAATAAACTCCATACAATATTTAATTTTGCTGTACTCTTTTTGTGTTGATTGAGTATGTATTTATTTGTATTGTAGGTATGTATTTTTGTTTGTGGGTTTGCTTTTGATAGCAAATACTATGTAACTTCAATAAGTTGGTCGATATTTCTAGTAAAAATTTTTACTTTTCTTTACTAAGTATTTGTTTGGAGGTGGGCACCAACGTTTTTTTTTTTATTTATTAAAATTGTTATAAAAACAGAAATTCATTGAGAATATGAATGTAGTTTGCAAATCGGTATAAAACAAAAACAATTTAAACGATTTAGTGTATCGCACAGATGACTGTATATTTTTACGTAATAATCATGTCGAAATAATGCAACATTATGAGGCAACAGCATTTTTAGATGATGTTTCGCGTATGCAAGCACTAATGGTATTATTTGAATAACGTTTTTTTTTCTTTTTAAATATATATTTTCTATTTGCTTGAGGTTTATGCTTAACTTGAGGTTGTCGCGTTTAAGAGAAGCTTTTAGTTCAAATGATGCCAAACATTATTTCCTCTTAGTGCATTGTATTAGCATTCAGCTTGAAAACAAAAATTTCAGCACTTTAAACAAACATAGTTGCACTATATTTATTGTTGCCGGCTTCCAGTATGTGCGTTTGTTTGCTCCTATTGTTTGATGAACAAATGGTCAGAGGATAGATTATGTAATAATTTAAGTTTTTTTTTTTGTTTTAGTTTAATCGGATGTTTTAAGTTTTTGCGATGTCGGTAGTAATGTTGTGGAAATAGTTTTTGCAGTTGTGGTTGTCTTTAGTGTTGTTGTATTTATTGCTGTTTGTATTGGTGTTATTGCTACTGCAGCTGCTGCTGCTGTTACCATTGATGTTGCCATTGTTGCTGCTGCTACTAATGTTGGTGTTCGCGTAGCGCATAGTGTCGTCGTTTGCGATTGTTTTTATTTTTGTTGAGTTGAATGTATTTACTGAATTTCAGCTTTTCAGAGTGCCTTTATTACTGTAAAGAAAAAATAATAAAAAAGTAAAAATCATTAATTTACAATTTATTAAGAATTTTATGGGTAAAAATAAGAAAAAAATACCCATTCAGAAAAGCTTAACAACATTAACAAGCCATTCCGGCTAAGATAGTCCAAAATCTTTTGTAAGACATTTGAAAGACCGTAGACAACATAGTTGGAATGATTTTGTTTTTTCTTGCCAGCTTTTAGGGTGAAAAGCTCTTTTGACAAGCATGTTCCAAAATGGTGCCGTATATCATTTTATTCGCGCTGTGTCAATAGAAGATTCGAGATTCGAGTTCTCGGGCAGATGATTTTTTTTTAAATTTATTATTTCCTTTTTCAATAAAGTTTTTTTTTTATTATAAGATTGTAGTGTTACAAAAATATTTATGTATATACTTTTCATTTAAATTAATTTTTAGAAACTCATTTTGTTTTTTTTAAGTAAGCTTTTAGATTTCATTGTTTTAAAAAGGAAACCTTTTTTTTAATTTCATTTACTTTTTGGAAGCATTTCTTTTTTCTTTTTACAATAAATTTTTTTTATTTCTTTTAACATTTAAGAACTTTTTTAATTTAAAATTCACAATTTCTATTTTCATTTTAGTTTTAGGAACTTATTTTACTTTTTTCCTCTTTTAATTGAATATTTTTTCTTTTTCAATTTGATTTTCCTTAAATTTTAAGATTTTATTGTTTTAAAAAGATAAATATATTTTTTAATTTCATTTACTTTTAGAAGCTTAATTTTTTTCTTTTAACTTAATTTTATCTTTTTGAATTAATTTTCTTTAAACTTTTAAGTTATACAGATATTTAAAAAAATAAATAAATTTTTTTTTTAGTTTCATCCTGTTTTTAGAAACTTTTTTAACTTCGATTACTCTTTTTTCATCGGAAAGGATGTACCCTATACTAATTTTGTTTAGATCCGATAATTGGATCGTGAAGAAATTAACGATAATCTAAAATTTTTATATGAGAATTGAAGTCGGTTTTGTTTTTTTTTTTTTTAAAAACTTCTTGCTTTTAATATTATTTAATTTTTAGAAACCAATTTCATTAATTTTTCCTTTTTTTTTAATGTAATTTATCGTTAATTGTTAATTTTTATTCACCCTCATTGCGAGAGTCGTGTCGAATGCAAGTCGTTTTTCGAGAGTCGAATCGTATCGAAAATGTCACGTCATTGCTTAAAATTTCCACTCGACTAGTGTATTAAAAGGGAAAAACTTGGCAGCACTGTATAGTTTTCGACGATTTTGGTCGTTTACTTATTTCAGTACGACAATAGACAATGCTACTGTTGTCGAGTCGTACAATTTAGCCTAATTTACGACTTACGCAATGAGGCTGTTTATTTTAACGAGAAAAATATATATATTTTTAATTTCATAAAATTTTTTAGAAAAATTATTGTAAAAACAAAGAATAACGTCAACACCTCCTTGTTAGCAGATCTTTTAATTAGTCTTTCGAAAGACGGAAAAGGGTTTTCAGGATAGTTGCCAGAAATGACAATTTTCTTACGAAAGGCTTTTGTCTTAAAAAGACACAAAAATTTGGGTCCAGTGGATCCAAACTTATATACCCAACGTAGCTGCTACTGAACTATTTGCATTTCTGAAAATAACCGCGAAAAGAGAAGTAGGCGTGGTTGTGTTCTGATTTTATTCATTTCGTTCTGGTTTCAAATATTTCCAACATCCTGGTAAAATAAATGTGTGTAACGAGTTTAGATTTTAAGATTGATAAAACAGCTACTGATATAACAGTCGCGTTTTTTTACACGCATATTAAAACATATACGCTTAACGTGAAAAGAAACAACCATCGAAAATTAAATTTAAAAACAAGTAATTTTAATTCTATCAACAACTTTTCATAAGCGCCCATAGTTTTTCGCTTACAGTTCCAAACAAATGTTTAGTGCAGATACGTATGAGTGCAAAAAACACGCCTATTGTACATAAATATGTAGTTCTTGCGAAAATGGAGGAGTATGCTCTTTTTAGATTGTAAGAAAAAACTTTCGAGAGGACAAGGACGATAAGAATAAGGAGCGATTCTATGAGCACCTAGGAGAAGCATATCAGCGCTTCCCTCGCCACGATGTTAAAATCGCACATGGCGACTTTAATGACCTGCTGCACAGTGGGTCAGAAGACTGAAAAAGTGCCCAAAATTGTTGCTAGACTGTTTAAACGTAAAAAAATCAGAACAAAATATTTTTATGGTATAGCTTATTATCCGAGGTATCGAAAAGTACCAGGTGTCCAAACATTATAAAACATCGGAGAAGACATGTATTTAGGATTTTTCGAAATTTTAACAGCTTTTATCAATTCTACGGATTTGTTCTATTTTCTCCCATTCTACTTGGTGTTTTCTGTAAAAAGTTCTGGGAAAAAATTATAAAAACAGGGTTGCCAGATATATACAAATTTATAATTATTCAAAAGCTTGTAACGGGTGATTTTTTAAGAGCTTGATACCTTTTTTTAAAAAAAAACGCATAAAATTTGCAAAATCTCATCGGTTCTTTATTTGAGACGTTAGATTGGTCCATGACATTTACTTTTTGAAGATAATTTCATTTAAATGTTGACCGCGGCTGCGTCTTAGGTGGTCCATTCGGAAAGTCCAATTTTGGGCAACTTTTTCGAGCATTTCGGCCGGAATAGCCCGAATTTCTTCGGAAATGTTGTCTTCCAAAGCTGGAATAGTTGCTGGCTTATTTCTGTAGACTTTAGACTTGACGTAGCCCCACAAAAAATAGTCTAAAGGCGTCAAATCGCATGATCTTGGTGGCCAACTTACCGGTCCATTTCTTGAGATGAATTGTTCTCCGAAGTTTTCCCTCAAAATGGCCATAGAATCGCGAGCTGTGTGGCATGTAGCGCCATCTTGTTGAAACCACATGTCAACCAAGTTCAGTTCTTCCATTTTTGGCAACAAAAAGTTTGTTAGCATCGAACGATAGCGATCGCCATTCACCGTAACGTTGCGTCCAACAGCATCTTTGAAAAAATACGGTCCAATGATTCCACCAGCGTACAAACCACACCAAACAGTGCATTTTTCGGGATGCATGGGCAGTTCTTGAACGGCTTCTGGTTGCTCTTCACTCCAAATGCGGCAATTTTGCTTATTTACGAAGCCATTCAACCAGAAATGAGCCTCATCGCTGAACAAAATTTGTCGATAAAAAAGCGGATTTTCTGCCAACTTTTCTAGGGCCCATTCACTGAAAATTCGACGTTGTGGCAGATCGTTCGGCTTCAGTTCTTGCACGAGCTGTATTTTATACGGTTTTACACCAAGATCTTTGCGTAAAATCTTCCATGTGGTCGAATAACACAAACCCAATTGCTGCGAACGGCGACGAATCGACATTTCACGGTCTTCAGCAACACTCTCAGAAACAGACGCAATATTCTCTTCTGTACGCACTGTACGCATTCGTGTGGTTGGTTTAATGTCCAATAAAGTAAACTGAGTGCGAAACTTGGTCACAATCGCATTAATTGTTTGCTCACTTGGTCGATTATGTAGACCATAAATCGGACGTAAAGCGCGAAACACATTTCGAACCGAACACTGATTTTGGTAATAAAATTCAATGATTTGCAAGCGTTGCTCGTTAGTAAGTCTATTCATGATGAAATGTCAAAGCATACTGAGCATCTTTCTCTTTGACACCATGTCTGAAATCCCACGTGATCTGTCAAATACTAATGCATGAAAATCCTAACCTCAAAAAAATCACCCGTTAGCATGCTGTGGAGCATGTATATAGTTTATTATTTAATTCATAGTATTTAAAGAAACGAAAATTGGTGGCTTTTATGCTAAAGTGGTCAAAACCCCACTTTTTCTTAATTTTTAAATTTTTTTCATTTTCAAATATTTAATTAACGGAAGAAAAAACTCATCAACAATTTCAAAACCACAAAAAAGGTTTCATTAGTTCCACGGTAATCTTAGTCTTCGGCAATTAGATTATTTTTATTTTTTAGTATCTTTTTAATTTTTATTATTTATTGTGTATCGTACATGTTCTTAGACATACACGCGTTTTCTTGAAAATTTCACTATTAATTATAAAAAGCGCAAAATATTCGCCGATTTTTATTAGGTTAGATATCTTTGGCTATAGACTAGTTCGTTATATCTTTTTTTTATCAGCGATAAAAGGAAGGAGTGGCGATACTTGTAATAGTGTACTTTGCTTAAATATGGAGTTTTTATTAATTCAAACGTGATTTAAAACAAAAAATAATTGACAACATATTTTGTTGCAGTACTTTTTCTAAGACTTTTTGAAAATTTAAATAAATTCAAGAGCCTAGATCTGTAGTTTTAGAATTTTTTAATAAATTTATAAACATTTTTTCATAACTAAGGCTTACAAACGCTTTGTCAGATTTTAAGGATTTTCAATTTTTCAAATGTCATAATATTTTGTTGTGATAGACGGCAGATAAGTTTGAGCGTTCTTGAGCGTTGGAAGAAAAGAAGGGCAGAAAGGTGTGCGTGCAAAGAGCTTGAGATGCTGGCAGGCAGGAATGTGGCTCGAAAATTCTATCAGAAAATAAGGCAGCAAGAAATATTGTTTAAAAGGTCCTGTCGACGATTATGTGTGGAAGACTGAAGCTTTACACGAACAAACTGATTGGACCTTATAAGTGTGGCTGTAGACTAGGTGGGTCCACTATTGACTAAATTTTCACAGCTCGTCAAATTCTGGAGAAGAAACAAAATATGCATATGTGTTCAAATTAAGTAGGACCTCTCCGCGCCGTTTGAGACCAAACGAGGATTTAGAAAAGGCGAACTTATAAATAACTGTACTTTTCAGAAAAAAAATATATATTTTTCCATTCAAAAAAGGCCACTTTATTGTGAAATAAAAAGTTTCAAATACCCCAACGATTGATAAAGGATTTCATCACCCTTTTTTAAAGGCAAGAAAATTAAAATCGGGCAAAAATTGAGACCAGTGCGCAACGCCGAAACCTTCAAACCAAATTTTAAAAGGTAAATGCGTTCGGAGTCGGCGCAAAACTGTAGGTCAAGGCGCACGCCACAAATCGGAGGAGAAGTTCGGCCAAACACTAACATATGTGTAAGCGCCAATCTATTATTATTATTATTATTGAATGCGATGGAAATTCATTCCAAAATAGTAAATAGATCACCTACTTACCCTGTCGCATAAATCAACCAACACCCATAAACTAAGTCGTAGAAACCTTTAAATACTCACATTGCTACATATTTAAGGCTATCACAGTGTATCTTATACTCCATTGCCGTTGTTAGAGGTATATTTAATATCCTACGTAGCGTATCGCGGATACGTGTCGTGCTTGTGTGATCCGTGGCAGTGCGATTCCAAACTGATAAGCTATCCTCCTGCCGATAGGAAAGTGAAACATTTGGAAATTAGTAATAAAAATGCAAACAATCTGTATTGGAATATTTTAAAGTTGGACCGATATGCAGAATTATGTATAGTATATTCGCCTGAATCAATACAATATGTAAAATAAATATTTTTCTTAATCACACAAAAAACACATTAGATATACATATATATGTATGTACATACATATTTATACAAGGTGTCCTAGACTACCCGTTCACCGCCGCTAAAGGAGAGAAAAATATTTTTTGTTATTGTTAAACTGAAAAACGCAAAAATATGAAGTACCAAATAAGGGTTGCTCTATCTTTGGTATTATTACCGAGAGCCAGTTTCAACCGGAAGTGGGTTAAACTTACCGGAAGTCCATTTTTCTTTTTTTATTTAGACATACATATTTTTACTACTAATTCAGATTTTGAGTATAAAAATACCTAACTTTTGTTTGAAACTTTTTTCTTGGAGTGCCTTTTTCAACCTCTAAATGACCTTCGGACTTAAAATCGTCTTGCACTGCTTAAATGAGTGAAAACATTTTTATTGAAGAACGAAAAAAATTTGAATTACTAAGTCGGAGATGCTCGATATTTTGGGCGTATTCCCGACTTCCAGTCGGCATGCTTTGATTCGATAACCCAAAATATCTGCTATGGTTGAAAGTTCCAAGTGAAAATATAAGATCGATAAAATGGAGCAAACGGACTCCGCGTCTTTGATCCCAGATATGGAGATTGGTACACGGGCGGTTCGAGGATGGGTGACAGAGCAGCTGCAAGTGACTATGGATCCGGCACAAAACGAGCAGCAATTCCCGCGGTGTTCCAAGCTGAAGTTTTAACACTTGGGAAAACGGTTTGAAGGGCGTTTTTTAGTTATCTTTTCAGATAGCCAAGCAGCCATCGGACCCTCTGAAACAAGATGATGGAATGCATAATTGTTAAGTACTGCTATAACACGCTACAAATTTTGGCAGCAAAAAATAAGTTACCTCTGTGCTGGGTGCCGGGCCAGTACGAGATCGAGGAAACCAGGTCGCTGTCGAGTTGGCGCATTGGGACCGGAACCATTCTGTGATCGTAGTTGGTCCTCTTCGGGAGCCATAACTTTTGGAGTGGGTACACTCTGAACGTAGTAAGTACTATGCGGCGGTGGGTGGCCACCAACAGGCCAAGCTCTTTGGTTATGCTTTCAATAGATTGGATGTTTTTCAATTAAACAGAAATGACATCAGGCTACTATCCGGATAACTAACGCGCCACAACCAACTACGTTTCCGCACACACCGTATAGGTGTTATCGGAGAGTCGGATTGCCAGCTCTGCCTTGAGAACGAGTAAAATTCCGAACACATTCTTTGTGACTGTTCAACTCTGGCTAGACAGAGGTTAACTTGTTAAGTGGAAAGATTAGTGGTAAGAAATTCGACTACCAAAGCGCTTTAAGGATTCAGTAGGGAAGCCGTAAGTGTCCTGGGCACTTGTCTTGGGTTAGGAACTCTTTTGAGAGATATAAAAGACTTGGAAGGTCGCAGTGTCACTTGTTTTGACCTGCCCGTGCATTTATCTATGTATGTATATATCTATCTATTTATATGTATGTATGTAGGTATGTATATCTACTTATTTTTGTTCTGCGGAACGAAATGTTAATGCCGTTTTTCTCGAATTTTTCTATTTTTCAAATATGTAAGAAAGCCTGCAATAAGAGAGCGTTATGTATACTGTGTAGTATATACACATAAATATGTAAGTTATACCTACATAGTTTCCTCGTTATGCCAAATGGAAAAAATACATGATTTTTTGTTTTTTTTTTTTTATTTTTTTTTTTATTTTTTTTTTTTAGTTCCTCAATAAATATTTAAATTATTTATCCAAACAAATTATTAAAAAAAAAAAAAAAAATAATCACAACAAATAATGAAAATATGGTTTTTTATTAAATAATTATTTTTATACATATTTTACCTTAGTTAAACAACAGTGTTGTTTTGCCTTTTTCTGGATTTTAAGATTTATATATTTTTTTGTTTTTCAGTTTTGTCTCTAACAGTTAATTTTATTTTAATAATCAATTAACTAAACTTACTAAAGAGAGAAAAGTAATAATATTAAGTTTTTTTTTGAATTTGCTGACCTTTTTTTGCTTTTGAAATATATATGCATGTATATACCTTTTACTTTTTAATTTTATTTTTATTTACTTTTAATAATTATTATTGTATTTATTTTGCTATTCAATTTCTTTCCTTTTTTATGCATTTTTTTTAATATTTTGTATTTAAACTGTTTAACAATAATGAGTATTTTTTCACCAAAAAATTTGTTATACTTTATTTATTTATTTAACACGTGTGCTCATTGCGCATGCGCGTCCTTCTTTTGCCGGCGGGTTGTTGCCAGCGCTAATACTTGCGCGCTATTTTTTAATTTTAAATTTCGTATTTTTTTCTTGCTTTTACAACTTTTTTTTTTTAACAATTCGCAAGGCGATTGTAAATTGTAATGCATTTTTTTTGGAGTTACACTTACAAGTTTTGATTTATAATTTAACTATAGGTTTTGTGTGGTTATGTGGGCGAGTATGTATGTGTGTGTGTGAGTGTTTGGAAAACTATGCTTTTCTTTCATACAATTTTAAAGTTTTATATTTTCGCTTAATTATTTCTAGTTTACGTATATTTTACACATTTTGTAAAATTATTTTTATTTTTTTATTTAAACTAGCCTGTTCCTTCCGCATCCGCCAAAAAGTAAATTTCATTTTTAACGCATCGCTGTCGCAACGTAGAGATGCAATTGGCGAAGAATTTTGGTTTCGGAAGAAAAAGCCGACAAGCGGTTTTAGCGCGAAATTAGAAAGAAGTGTGAATTAAATTTGAATTTAAAAGCTCACTTCAATTGTTAGCGCATGAAAGTGTGCTTAACAAAAAATTGTAACACAGATAGATTTGAGAAGGCAATTTCTTAAGTAGAGGAGCTGAATTTTAACCTGTTAGTTTAAGTTAGAAACTGTGTGTGTGAGTTTTTGAAAATCCATTGCTTTTTTGTGACTTGGCTGCTTAGTGATTTTCATTCATTTTTTCTTTTGCTATATTATACATTCAAAAATTTATTTTTTTAATATATATATTTTTTTTCTAATAATATGAAGTTTTTGGGCTTCATCGCCCAGTGTCGTGTGCGTGTGTGGGTTGGCTAACGGCTTATTTGCTGTAACTCCTACATACATATGTATATAATTGCTCATACTTATATATGTATGTATGTCTGTTCGAATTTTGGCAAACGTATAAGTTCTGCATTTGATGACGCTTTCTGACAGCAATTTGTTTTTCCAAAAAGTAAAATTACTAGCTTTACACTTTCGTAATGGTGTGTCCAAAACCTACACTCCATTCGGAAATTTATTTTCTCTATATAGTTTTATGTGTGTTTGCAGTTTCTGTTGATCAATTGTAATTCACTTTGGTATATAATAAATACATAGTATATGCTAATTATATTTAAAATATTTAAGTATGTATATATTTTTGTTCTAATTTTAATTTTTCCATTATTTTATTTTTTCCATTATTATTATTATTTTTTTTTTTTGTATTATTGCTTTTTTAGATATTAACGTTTGCCATTACCCAAGAGCTTTGCATTCAACATTTATTGCTGTCGCTGTCAATCATTAAGTAATTTGAAAATTTCCCTAACAGCTGTTGGTTTATAAGTAGGCAAGTGAAGTGATGTAAGTGATTAGTAAGTGGTGAGTTTGTTGAAGTTTTTTCAGTTATTTTCGATTGCAGCCGACTTTGTTATTTTTATTAAAAACACTGAAGTTCTGTAAAACACAACAAATTACTGTGCTTTGGTTTTATATTTAATAATTTTTGCTCTGCATTAGTTGCCATCCACCTAAGTGTTTGATATGTAGTGGCCAGTTTACGATTACGTTTCGGTTCAGTAATATGTTTTATCTAACGGATTTTGCCAATAGCCTGTTGCAGTTATTTGGTGAAGCGAATAAGGTGAAAGGACAGAAGATATTGCTCATGAGCGAAAAAATTGTGAAGCACACAAAAGTAAATAGCTCGTTTGCTGGAATAATGTCATAATCCATTTTTTTTTTAGCTAAGTATGCGACTTTTTGCGTAAAACTTATTTCATTGCCCCTATTTGCAAAGTAAGAATTCAAAAAAGGTTCTTATAATAACTTGATCCTCTGGATTATATTTTAAAATTATACTTGTTATATTTTTTTATTATTATTTGGTCTTGTCCAATGCGAAGAACCTATACATAAACTCTAATGCCCCGTTTACATAGTGTCAGCACCCAGACAGTGCGGCTACTGGCATAATTATAATTTAAATAAGCACTAGCCAACTTTTCATACCTACATAAATTTTTTTTTGATTTTTGATTTTTTTTTCGAGCTACGAAGTCATTTTGACATGCCAGTGACTTTTTGAATTCTCTGCAAGTAACTGTAAATGTAATATCGCACCTGTAAACTGCCACCTGTTAATAGATGACTGTTAAGTTTTAAGCATGCTGCGTCATTTAGTTTGTGTTTTACAGTCATGTTATGGGGCTTCTGCACCATCAAGTTTCAATGGCTAAGTAGTGGTTAAATGAGTTCAGTTGTGATCGTGCCAGTACAAGTGACGGCGAATGTTCAGGTCGCCCAAAAGAGGCCGTCACCCCAGAAATCGTAGACAAAATCCATGAAATGATACTGGACGATCAGAGAATAAAAGTGCGTGAGCTTGCTGAGACGGTAGGTATCTTAACTGCGCGGGTGCATCACCTTTTACCTTAGTATTTAGACATTAAAGGGCTATCGGTACTATGGGTGCAATCTGAACAAATTTTTACGCCTTTCCGTAAACGTGGATGAACTATGGATACATCACAACATACTACAGAAAATGGAACAATCAAGGCAGGTGCTTGCTACGGGTGAACGTACACCGAAGAAGCCCAAAGTGGATTTTTCG